CTCTCTCTCTCTCTCTCTCTCTCTCTCTCTCTCTCTGTGTGTGTGTGTGTGTGTGTGTGTGTGTGTGTGTGTGTGTGTGTATGTGTGTGTGTGAAATCAGAGAAACACACAAACGCAAACAAAAACCTCCACGCTGGAAGCTGATAGCCTCGTTGTACACATGCGCAGGATTGCGACGAGGAGAAAGACGAACGCTGCGACCTGCCTTGGCGACGCTAGAATAGGGCTCTCTCATTTATTGGCCTGATGTATACGTTCCCCTAGTTTGTTCGTCACTATGCATGCAATGCGACCGTATTCGTCCGTATGCGTCTTTCAGGCAATTGGCCATATGCTGCTTTGGCCCAGATCAACGCGGGGTTGTGAACCGCCAGCGACAATGGGCAACCTTTTTTTTGCGCCCCCTTCCTTTCCATTCGAAAAACTCTCTCCGTATCTAATGGTAATGGTCCATCGGGCCAATGAAAAAAAAAAAGGAAAGGCAGTAAGGGGGTGCTTGAGAAGCTCAAACCGAAAACGGGGCCCGACCGGCGCCCTTCCGCCGGCACTAACGTAAGGGCTCGGACCAAGTGCGGGCCGCTAGCAACAGCAGGCGCGACTGGCTGTGGGACCTACCGGCGCGATAGGACCACAGAAGGGGCGGCTTTCGATACCTCCCGCGACGACGGGGGTCATAGCCAGGCTATGGAGGACGCAGTCGCAGACGCCCCTAATCGGACCTTCACACAAAGAGAGAAGTATAGTGGAAATAACGAGTGAGTGTAGAACTTCGTGAGGGAGTGCAAGATTTGACGTTGGAGGAGAGAGAAGAAGAGACCTGGGGTTGCCACCGCCAGTGGAACAAGGTGATAGTCAAACGCATGCGCTGAGAAGCTGACATGGAAACACCGATGGCGGAAGGGGGTCGTTCCTCGCCACAGGCTCCAGACCACCCCCAGGATGAAGACGATAACAGGATAAGAGAGCTGGCAAGGATGTGCTATGTTGAAGGGATTATGACAACGTCAATTGCTCCCGGGGAAATGACGGTGGATGGGAGAGTAGCTACTTTCAAGGTCAACGAGAGCATCGACAAAACAAAAGTGGATTGGCTGAAAGAGCACACGGTGACGGTAATCTTTCGGGAAGGAGCTCGGTTCTTGCCAAAAAAACTGAAAGATGACGTAGTGCGAGCTTATGAGGACGAGCGCGTCCAGGACGGGAGCTTTGAGTTTGGAAACTTTAGAAGAGGGAGAGTGAAGGTGGAGAGCCCTAACATAGTTTCGTATATTGAAAAGTTGCCAACGGTAGCCACATGGTTAGTAGCTAAAGGGCATGACAAAATTACTCTAGGAGCTACCAGATATGCCCTGGACTTCAAGCCATGGCTCACAAGAGCTCAGCTCCGAGAACAACGGAGGAGAGAAGAGGAACTGACGTTTTGGGTGGGCGCGGTACAAGTTCCGTTGGACGCGATGCTATATTTGGAAGCACAAATACAAAAGGCAATCAGAACGGTGACTTTCGCTCACCCACCAGAACCAAACAGACTGAAGCCATAAATTAATCTGAAATTCGACTTAGAGACGGAGGCGCGAGCAAACATGAAGGATAAAATTTCAGTGATTACTTTTGAAGGTGATACTCTTACGGTAAACCTGGCGTCGTCAGAGACTCCAAGATGCAGACGATGCAAGGCAATCTTTCACTCAGATGACCAGTGTCGAAGAAACCAAGGACAACAACAGAATGGAGCAAGCGAGGGCCAACCACAAGGCAATCAACGCGGTGCATCTGCAGTACGCCAAGAAGATCAAGGAACCCTAGGACCAAGACGAAGTGCTACTGGAGGAAGTCAAGGACCGGCAATTGGACCACAACCAAGCGGAATGGCGTCAAACCATAATTATCCGGTTTTCTCACCAGGTCATCAGCCTCACGCTTCAGCGCCAATCTTCAACCAGTGGGCTATGCCGATAGGGCCAGCAGGCAATCATTCATCATTTACACCATGGGCAACGCAAGGGGCAACAAGACGCGTCCAGGTACCGTGGGAACATGGCCTCCCTCAGGGGGCGGTGGGCAATGTACCTGGGCTTGTAGGAGGAAGATGGATAGGCGGGCGCCTCAACCTACAACAAGAAGAACCAGGTATTCCAGGACTGATGAGCAGAGCATTTGCGGTGCATAACAGAGGAATTATAGGAACAAACAGAGGTTGGGGTGTGGAGGAAAGAACGACAAAGCAGCAGAGGGGAGTCCAAGTAGGAGGAGGGGCGACAAGTGGCCTCCGACGGAGAGATATACAGATGGATGGGTCGTTCATCTCAGAGGCAGGTGGAGCAAGAGGGGAGGTGCCGACCGAGAGCAGACGGGGAGATATCACACCAGGGAAACAAAGGAGATTAAGCAGAGAAGGGGGCACGACATCGTCACAAGGATTGAGAGGAGAGCACTCAGGATCGTCTGAGTCAGAAACTTCCCAAGGCCAAGCGCATGGAATAGACACCCCGGGTTCCAAAAGAACTCGGAGGAGGGCTCCAGTGACACTAAATACAAGGCAACAAGAGGACATTGAGTCGAGAATTCTGCGGATTTTATGTATGGTGGTGAGGAACAGCATGCATTTCACTGGCTAGAGCTCGTCAAGCATGGCGGTTAACCTCTTGTCGCTTACCTCACCGGAAGTCCTGATGCCGACAGTGATTTCCACGCAGGTGCGGACAGCAATCAGAGACAAATTTCAGTTCCACATGATCCCATAGATCTTGATGGTTCGTTTGATCATGGACAATCCAGAGAATGGAAAGAATCAAAATTTTTATTCCAATCCTGGATATTCGATTCGTATGCGGCCAACTGAAAATCTTGGAGCAGAAACTTCCAGGAAGCCCTAAGGCTCCTACTGATAACATGGATTGCAGATAAGAAGAGGCAGAAACTGCGAAGGATTGGAGTGTCACCGCTCGATTCAACAGAACTCATTATGGAACTGGAGGCAAAGTTCCCAAAGGAGAACAAACTCCTATCTCCTCTTTTGCATACCTACTTGACATCCATCTGGTTGCCAGAAACTAGCAAATCACAAGGGCATAACAACAGACAAGCAACCCACTCCATCCAACAGGCAGAGGAGCGTGAAGCAAATGGGTAATCTCAGGATCACATCATGGAACATGAGGGGATTGGGAGACACAGGAGGGGGATGCAAGAAGGAGAGGTTGAAAATATGGATCCACGCGAACAAAGTGCAAGTTGTATGTCTACAGGAGACGAAGCTAGAAGAAGAAAAGATGGAGGCATTCGGAGGTTGGTGGGACGGACCACAATTGTGGTCACCAGCGCAAGGCACGAGGGGAGGGGTAGGGATTTTAATCTACAAAAGTTTAGAAGCAGTAATTATAGACTTTTATGTGGACCTCTTGGGAAG